AGCGCTGACGCGCCGTCGTCATTGGCGTCGTCGGCGTCAATGTGGATGAGAAAGGCCGGCGGCACGTGGTTGATGTCAAGGCACCGCCGCCGCCAGTACGGCTGGCCGTGGATATCGACGTGGCGCGACCACTCCTTGCGCATGCTACGCGGTAGGGTTGGGTGAGCTTATAGGCGTTCAGGTCGTATTGATACCGGGCCGAGCGCTGGCGGGCCGTCAAGTCTTCGGGCAGCACCATCGTCTTGGTACCAAAGAAGCCCGAGAGGCGCGGGTTGCCGCTCGGCGTGAGCATGCGGTTCTTGCTCGCCTGGCGGAAGAGCAGCGACGGGTTGCTCCGCTGCTTGGAGAGCCGGGTCTGGCTCGACTGCCGAGCCAGCTCGGCGCGGTAGCTCTTGTTGAAGTGCTCGATTTCGGTCGACGGCTCGAGAAAGCGCGAGTCTATGGCGCAGCTTATACACAAGATGCTTGTCGTCTCAACCGACCTTTTTTGGCAGCGCAGAGGCAGCACACGGGGCGGTCGACGACGTTGAGGAAGGCGCAGACCGGGCACTCCCACCGGTCCACGTCCAAGAGCCTAGTTCGTCCATACTAGCATGAGGCACGGCGCCTCGTCCGATAAGATCGTCGTACAAGTCTTCGACATCGCCGCGTTTGAGCCCCGGCATAAAGTTGCTCAAGCTACAAGCGCTTTCTCAGCTCCGTTCGACGCGATGCAGTCGTACGTACATGGGCTGGTGGAGCGGGTAGTGGCCGTCAACGGCGCTCATTCCATTGCAGTACTTGGCGAGGCCGCTGAGGCAGAGGAAGAGCACGGCGATGCTCAGGACGAAGAGGATCTCGCTCGACGTCTGCGCGTCCATGGTCGAAATGCTGGAGCTCTTCTATTGTGGAAGTGCAAACTGAGTCGAACGACGGAGTGCACCACTCTCACATCGCCCTCCCATGGGCGCAAGTCCAGTGCGCGTGCCACTTGGGCCAAGTACTGTGGATGAGCCGACCATACAAACCGCCAGTTGGAGGCTCGCGACACGGTGGCTGCGAAAGTCGCACTCGGACCATGTGGCAATTGACTTGGAGTTTCTATGCAATCGGCCACGGCCGACGCCATTGTTTTAGATATGTTTTTTGTTCTATACAAACCACAAGCTACAAATGCGAAAGAATAAAAAAGATGGGTGGGCGCGTGGCGATCGTAAGGCAAGAGACTTGCGGTTCGGAGCATGGCAGAATGGGCGTATCTGGCGACGCTGGTCCCACCGACGTACCCATGCGTGCGCCGGGCGACGACCGGCCGCATGGAGCTTGATGGGCGCCTCGACAAGCCCGCATGGGCGCAGGCTCCGTGGACCGCTTCCTTTGTCGACATTGAGGGCCCGGCGCGCAAGGTACCGAGAAGGATATCATGCACATGTGGCAAACACACGCGGTAGCCCAACCCGCCGATGACGACGCGCGTCAAGATGATGTGGGACGACGACTACCTCTACGTGGGCGCGGCCATGGAGGAGACCAAGGTCTGGGGCACCTTCACGGTCAAGAACACGGTCATGTACCACGAGAACGACTTTGAGATCTTTATCGACCCGGACGGCAGCCACCACAACTACTAGTATGTATCATCCAAGACGACAACGCAATAGCTTAGAGTACCTTGTATTAGCGAGATGGAGATGAACTGCCTCAATACGATCTGGGAGCTCGTGCTGCGCCGGCCGTACAAGGACGGCCACGACATTGAGAACCCGCGCAACCTCGTCGACATTCGGTCGGCCGTGCACATTGACGGTGCTGCCAACGACCCGTCCGTGCCATGCCGCAGCTGGAGCGTCGAGGTCGCGCTACCTCTTGCGGAGCTCGCCATCTTCGACGAACGCCGGCGCCGAACGGTCGATTCCACGTCACGGGACGCCGAAGCAACACCACATGTGTAGGTGCAAGTGGGCGACACATGGCGCATGAACTTTTCCCGCGTCCACTACGATCTCAGCGTCGAGACGGTGGACGGCCAGCCCACGGTACGCCACCGCTAACGTTACGTTCTGAATCGACTCGTCCTATGAACGAGTAGTACGTCAAGGTACCTGGTCGTCGTGAGTACAACTTTGTCTGGTCGCCCACCGGTGTCATTGACATCCATCGCCCAGAAAAATGGGCGCTCGTGAGCTTCCTCGGCACGTGCGCTGTCGACGCCGCGACGTGGCCAGCCACCGAGTGCGTCATCGGACCGCGTCGACAAGATTTGATACAACGTCGCGTAGGCGCCGCTTGCTCCAAGCGCTCCAGGACGAAGACGTCTTGAACGCGGTCTACTACGCCCAGCGCCAGTACCACGAGGCCCACGCCGTGTACGCGCGTTCGCTCGACGTTTTGTTTGGCGATGCGACGCCGCCCCGCGTGACGCTCGAAGTACGAGTTTGGATGGACGAGATGACAGAATCGGTGGCGACACGACAGCGTGTGTAGGTGGCCGCCGACCAAAGCTCGTATACGCTGGCGTACGTGGACGCGACGGGCGGCAAGCACGGCCTGACGCACGACGCCAAGTACACGCGTCCGTAGTCGACTCTGGTAGTACGAAGCGTGCGAAGCGAATGTGGACGATTACGTGAAGGCTGGTCGGGATTTTTTCGTTCTGTCCTGTTCAGCCGCACCCAGAAAATACACGGGAAAATGTCAAAACTGTGTGAACTTGGGCCCAAATCAACCCAAACCTGGGTAAATTGCATAAAAATACATAGACTTAGTTTTACTATTAAGTGGCTCAGGGTGGCTCAAAGTGGCTCGCCTCGGCGTCTTCACATGCCCCTCTCCTCCTACGCCTCCTTAACCGCAAACAAGACCTGTACAACAATCCTTTAACCTTCCTCAACACCTCACGTCACCCCCACCTACCCTTCCCTGCGACTACCTTGCCAAACAACCCCAATACCCTGCCGGGAACTTAAGCGAATGGTTATTTTTTCTCCAAATTCCTGTTTTGACGCAGCTTTTACCAAACACACCCAGTTCTGTCATTTTCCCAAAATACACTGTACTATCGGCTCTTTTTATCCGGCATCCGGATATGCATTTCATCGCGTTTTGAGCGATCTCATTCGAGGTCGCATTTTCAAAGTGACAGCAGGGCCATGGCTCGCAAGACAAACGATACGAAGGCGCCCGCTGCCGCGGTGAAGAAGGTCTTGAGAGCGCGACGCCAGCCATCGACGAACCACTGCCAGCCGCCGATGACCCGCTGCCGGCCGCTGACGATTCGACGTCAGTAGGAGGGGACACAGCGGCCTCTATCGATGAGGTGTCCCCAGATGTCACCAAGAATGCCAAGAAGAGCGCCGCCATCGTGGAAGAGCCGCCTCTCTGGTGCGATGCTAGCGTGGCCAAAATGTTCGAGCTGCGCTACAAGACGGAGCTGAAGGACAAGTTCAAGTCCAAGAACAACTTCCAGGAGAACCTCGCCGCTATCTCGCTCGCCGCCAGGCTGAGCGTCGCGATGAATCGCACGTTCTCTGCGGCTCAAGTCAGTGCCAAGGTACCATCCTATTGCCAGTTTGGTGTCTCCAACCTTCGCTTGTGTAGTTTGCGCGGATGCGCACCACATGGTCGGCCTCCAAGCCGACGGTACCTTCGACAACCGGCAACGAGGCGTCGTCGGGGAGCCTTCCCATGCACTACGATGTGATGCTTGAGTATTGGTCGGGGAAGGACGATCTGCAAGGCGAAAGATTGCTCTCCTCGGACGATCTGCAACGCGAATCATTGCTCTCCTCGGACAATCCCGTTGACCTAGCAGACGACACCGGTATTTTTGACCCATTTACGTTCGACAGCTCATCATGTGTACAGGAAATGCGGACTCGGACGTCATGGACCTCGACGACGAAAACGAGCGGCCGGACAACGAGAACAAGAAGCGGAAGACTTGTTCCGAGACCGAGGACGAGACCACCGGCGATCGAGGCAAGAAAACCAAGTCGACCGGGGAGGCCATTGAGGGTGGCTCTCGTAGCCGTGAGCAACGGTCTCATCTCGCTTGGCCAGTCTCTAACGCCGGGTCGTGGTGCGGCGCAAGGCACCACGACGCTCGACGACGTACTGGATGCCATCAAGGCGCAATCAGCGACGGCCTTGGCAGAACAAGTTCGTTCCTTGGTCGATGCCATCAAGAGTCAGACCAACACGATGCAACAATTGATCAAAGCTATCGCGAAGAAGTACTGCCAGCGCAATTGCTCCATACAGTTTCTTTAGTGAAGGTTCATACAGTCAAACAGCCGAGCTATCGCGTCGCGCTTGCTTAACGCCGCACGTCTAATGTTGGTCGCACCATCTTGCTTGTAGTCGTTCGGTTGAGAGTGTGCGACCAGCGTCGGGGATTTCAAACAAATCGTCGTTGACTGGCAAGAAGATGTTGTATGAAGCACGAAACACGACGAGACGAAGTATTTGATCGAGGCGGTGCTGGAAAGGTTGTATAGTTGAAGCGCCGCTGGGAGCGCGTCCACCCACCATCATCTTCGTGTGGTTGGTACGGATTGAGTAGCCAAGTGTATAGCCACCGTCGCCAATGATGTGCACACCGACCGGCATGCAGCGAGAAATGGTGTTGCCACACGTGGACTGCTTCCAAATCTTCTAGTCGGAAAACGAGCCGGGTCGCATGTCGACGGACACGAAGCGAGTCGAGGCGTCGACGACGGCTTGTACGCTGAGAGACAGGTCACCGTGTCGATTGTAGAAGCCCTCGACGGGTCGCTCAATGTCGATGATTGCGCCGTCAACGGCACCGGCGACGTCTGGAAAGCCTCGTTTCGCCTCGACGCTCTCAGCGACGTGCCGCCACTCGTTCCCATTGGATGGTAGCAAGATCCAGTCGCTGGATCGAGTCGCCAAGGCGTTCGAGAGGACGGAGACGACGTGGATACACCACGACTTGCAGACAACCCAAGGCGCCGACAGTCTCGCGGTAGCCGCCGCCGCTGCCGAGATCGTACAGAAGCATCCTTCTTTTCGAACGAGTGCTTCGAGCGTGGGCACTTGTAGTCCTCCATGTAGTCGCGGAGGACGTCGACCAGGCGACGAAACGATGCATTAGAGCGCAGGTTGCTGATAAACCACTGGTTGAAGCGCGGATTGTCGAGCATGTCGTCAAAGTCGACCATGTCAATGGTGAGGATGTTGTACGTACCTGTCCTCGCGGAGGCCTCCTCCCGCCGTAGCGCATGCTACAGCGACGGACGCGATGGCTGCCCCAACACCGATCAGTACAGCCGCTTGGACCATTTCCCCGACCTCGCAAAACCGGACCGAGACAGGACCGGAAAAATCGGGCGCACGGCAGAATAGGACAGAACGAAAAAAATCCCGACCAGCCTCTTATACTGCATGCAAGCGACTGTGTCCACGATTGCAGTGTTCTATTGCCTAGGGCTATAGTCTCCATGCCTGCAATGGAGAAGCGCACGGGATCCAGAAGCCGAGCAACGTGCGAGGTTGCGATGGGGACGCGCACGCTATGCGCTTGAAGGTGCCGTGCGCCTCGATGAAGGGAGTGCGCCAGCTTTATTAATCCCTTGACCTCGATTGTGTTTGAAAAGCCAAGCTAAAGCTCAACGGGTTGCTGCACGTGGCATTGCTCCGCCGAGAGCGCGGCGTCGTGATGACCCTCCGCGCGTTGGGGTTTCTTTGAACGCTCGCGCCTACTCCTTGACCAACGAAGGCTGGTGCGCCGTCTGCATCGTGACATATATCGCTCGCTTTGTCGTCGAGCAGCGTCTTGACCTGCAACGTGCTCGTCAGCGTCGTTGCTGAGAACGGCTCGTGTGATACTTCAACACACGTCGTGTCGGCTCTCAAACGGTCGCACTTCCAGAAACACGGTAAGTTACGCTACTCCCATGTCAATTCGTGGCGACTTGCGATTGTTTTGCGGGTCGTTGTTTGGCTTGAGCGACGACGCCGCCGGGAGCAAACGGACACGGCCCTTTGGGGGGCGACACCATAAAGGTTCACTAATAGGCCAAGGAGCGTGTTGGTATGACTGTTTGTTTGTCGTGGCGATTGGTTCGCAGCGACCCTCAGCTCGGGTCGTCGCAAACGATCGCCTTAGACGTCGCGCTAGAGCACCAAGGCGCTGGCGTTGCTCCTGTCCACCGAATCAAGCCGCACGAAACGGTTTCGTCAGTAAGGCTGCGACTGCAGACCAAATGCCAACAAATGAAAAGGCTCATGGCGTGGCGGTCGGGAAGCGGAGGGAATGGAACCATGCTACATGTCTGCACTCTGTGGGTCCCCGCGTCGCTACGGCCTATAAGCTCAAGGTGGCACCATCCTCGCGGTCTAGGAACATGTGTGCCACCAGATATGAAACGTACGTGCTTGACGATCATTGTGGTCGTTGGCTGCGGCAGCCGCAAAGGATTCGGTGCACCTGTGTCATCTTGGGCGTCTTAACTAGTCGACGCGCCGTGGGGGTTGTCGCTCGAACGAGCCGCGCGACAATACCTTGGATGCCGCTGCAATGACGTGGCGCACGCCCAGCAACGGCGGCGAAACCGTTGCTTCTTCGATTAAAGTATTCTGCAAGTTTCGTATATCCTGGTTCGCGGCCCATACGCCACGCCTCTGAAAGCTATCTTTGCTGCTCCATCCGAACATTATACTACAAGACCATACAAGCTTTGCGTTGTATATATCCTAGCTCCAACACGCCATCGATTCATGCGTGCACAGGTCT